GCTTCCAAGCAGAAGTTGAGCAGTATATCTGCTTTGACAAACAGGGCAAATCATTGTTTTCCTCTGTGACCCTGTAAAAATTTTCAGCAGCAAGCAGAACACCAGAGGTGAACAGCAGTTCAAGTTGATCAGCTTGCACATCAGAAAGTGAGCATCTGAAGTGAGCAGTTAAACTTACTGCATTCAGGAAGGACTTTCATTTTGCAGCCAATCAGCAGCTGGCTTAAGAAAGTTTTCCACATCGAAAATTAATCAAGATGAAAATTGCAATGAACTGAGCTCCAGCACATGAGCCTTCATTAAAGGATTCTGGTGACATCAGAAAGCCTGAAAACAAAAACTCAGGTAAGCACCAGAATGCCTCGGATATAATTCTAACCGTGGGAGTCAAAAGGAGCTTATTTTACATTTTAACAAAATACATGATCCCCAGAACACAATGGGCAATAAAAAAAAATCCAGTTGAGGGAAAAAAAAAATCTAATGGAGAAAACAGACATTTAACATTTTCTCCTACCTTACTTCAGTATGTACAGAACAAATATAAATCAAAGTCTCATTTCTTCTGTATTCCCGTTCTCCTGCTGTTTTATAAACTTCTCCTTCTCCTCATTTGCTATGACATTTTGTCAATTGAAAATTATTTACAGTGTAGAGAAGGCGATGGGGGGCAGGGGGAGCAGAAATCACTTGCAGGCCTGGTTCTTGCTGCCTTTAAATATGCTCAAGAGATTTCAATTTTTTTTTTTAAAGGCAAAGGAGTGTCTTTTTCAGTTAGTAAGAAAGTTTGGACTATACTGTAACTTGTGAAAGCTACACAGCTGAAGGGAATAGATCTGATTACATGTATGTCTGGACCAGTTCTGACAAATACAAACCATACAACTTCATGCAAGTGGCTGCAATGTCCTGAATGAAGTCTGTGGCCATTCTCTTGTCTGACATAGTTTGTGTAAAAAATAAAATAAAATAAAAATTAATAACAATGCACTACTTTGCAGAGAAAAATAAAGGAGTGGATTGCAATTTTCTTAAGTACAAGTTAGGGAAGATAAACAGGCAATGAACCATTGTAAAACAAGTGCTGCAATAAGGAAAGAAGACAAAAGGAATTACTAACACTGAACTTCTTGCCAGCTTAAAGCATTTGATAATGCTTAAAATTAGTTCTGCAGCATAAACAGAAATTAATCAAATATTCTGACTACGCCCTGTAAGATAGGCAGCAATGCATGAACTGCTACAGCAAAGCAGGGAAAGAAATAAGAACCATGCATTATAGTTCTTTAGCATCCACACTACTCCTCCAGAGTAAAGAAAGGAAGTATATCCACTTGTTTCAGTATTGGTAAAACACAAAAAAACCCCTACTTTCTGCACATTCACCCATGAACACACACTTGCATCCTATTTACAGTGGACATTACACATTATTTCCTTAGCTGGAAAGCAGGAAAGAATAAAAGGGTGGTATGCTTAAGAAACCAAACTGCATACACTGGGTGTGCTGAGAGAATTATTTTGCAATATTACTTGTAGGTAATAAGAACCTCTAGTGAATAAGTAAGAGAAGAAGAATACTCACTGTGCAACCTGCTTATATGTCAAGTACATTGAAATGTGAGATAAGGCAAAAAGACCAGAAGACAAATTTTACATTTAAATATATAGTAGTTTGATTATTATTATTTTTAAAGTTACTATAACAGACAACACAGGGAAGATGTACTCCAGCCAGCCCCTGTAGGAGAAGTTATCAGAAGTCAAGAGACTGAAAAGCAGGACAACAAAGATGCACAGTTTTTAGTTCACAGCAACTGAAGAAGCCAGACTAACTCCTGTGTGCTAAGCCAGTGCACGGTCCTGCTAGTGGAGCTGCACCACGTATAAACACGCTAATTAAAAAGTTCCTCAACAATAGAAATGTAGTTTGAACAAGTACTTCATCAGGCACAAACACTACAAGAAATTATAGAACGTGTATTACTGCTTTCTGATGAGAAGCTGTACAGACACGGTAACGGTAAGTTACCTTCAAAGTACAACGTGGATAAAGTCATGGTTGAAGATAGATCCAGAAGAGAACTCCAAGCCTGCACAGCTGGAAGCATTACCCAAGTTCAAATCTCAAACTGAACCAAATCAAAATCCAGATCTGAGCACATTATGGGCTAACTTCAGGTTTACATCAGAGTGAAACTTTAGCAAAGGCCAGCAAAATTTAGCACCTCATTTTTTTGAAGTATTAAAGACAGCGCCACATTCTGCACACACATGAACTAGTTTTCAAATCTTGGTAAGTTCCTTTCTATTAGGTCATGTCTCTGTCATTTCCCCTCCTAGTTTTTTTTTTTTCCTCAAGTTCTTCTTTCCTACAGAAAGAAGCTTTTGATATTTTATGTTTTTCCTCTCCTTCCTGGATGCACAGGATTGTCTTTGTGATTTAGCCAATTTATTAGCATGCCTCTTCACACAGTCTCCTTCCTACTATGTCACGTTCCTGCTTCTCTTTTGAAATGATTGAAATGCTTTGATTTAGTCTCAGATCATGTGCTGACATGAACATCTTTAAAAACTGTCCTGGAGAGAAGTCATGATTTCTCTGGTTTTGTGAAGTAATAACTGCCAAGAAGTAAAAAGAACACAAACAAAATCTCCAAGCATCCCATTTCAAGGAGGTGTTTCTGAATTACACTGAAAAAGATGAATGACCCGAAGTTCAGAAAACACACTGAGCATTAAAGGCTAAAAAAATTACACTATATAGAGTGTGAAAAACTTACAGAAATAGAAGGGAGGGGAAAAAAAAAACACCCCACCAGACTGTAACAGTCATAAAACATAAAACTATTACTAACTCAGTAAGGAAAGAAAAGAGCATCTGTGCTGTTGATGTGCATCTGTGTATAAGAATGAAAGAAAACCCCGAGATACAGGACACCAGGACTATCTACCCAGCCTTCAGAGAAGGTGAAAAAAAAAAAGCTTAAAAATATTTGAAGGAAGAAAAAAAGAAGGTACTTTTCCCCTTAGCTCTCCTTCCCCCCCCTCTCAATTTTTTCTTTTTCCTAAAGAAGCAGTTTGGGCAACTTTTTTTTTTTTTGGTTCTTTTTGTTGTTAATCTCCTCAGACAGTTTCCCAGGATGCCCAGCAGTTAAAGAAACACCTTTATTTCCTCAGCCTCTTCTTAGCTGCCTAAACCATGACTGCCTCAGTAAACACTTTAAATCAAACAGTTAACCACTAACATGTGCTGCTCATTAGCAGTGCTTTAAGCTCACCTGTATTGTTCTGTTTCTTTAAAAGGGCAGCATTCAAAGCACCCTTCACCCTAAGAAGCATTTTATTTGAGTTGTTATTGCTGTAAGCAGGAACCTAGCTGAAGGAAATGTTAATTTTTTTAAGGCCAGCTATGAAGTTTAAAAGCATTCTTTTAAAGAAAAGGCCCAAGTAAAGAAAACTATGAACATGAATAAGTGAAAAAACAAAAAAGAGGATATTTGATGGCTGAGAAAATTCAGTAATGCAATATGAATACCTTATGGAAAACAAGTGCTCTATTAATTATTCTTAATGTCACCAATCTTCACCTTTAAAGGAGGAAGAAACTTTAGAGAAAAAAAAGAATCAGCCTATTTCTGTTCTTCAATGTCAATATCCATTATAAGGTGTATCTAAAATTGTCTTAAAGAGTCAGGTCACCTCGGTTTTAAATACTCTCAGTGAAGTTAAACCACACACTTGGCTACTTTGTGCTTAAGTCCAAGAAAGAATGAAGTGCATCTCGTCCTCAGAGACTCAGCACCTCCTTATAGCTGAAAGACTACTACCCCTTGAAATGCTCATCTCTGCTGCAACCAGAACATTGGCATAAGCAAAGGCACTGTAAAAAGAAACAGTGCTATGAGAAATGAAATCCAATTCAAGCTTTCCCTTAGTCATGCTGGTAGAATCTGCCTCCTAACACTGATCCATCTAGCACTCGTGCTTTTGCTAGATCCCTAGCCCACAGGTATACATGTGTAAGTCAATCTAGCCACATGAATATGATTGAATTGGTGGTTTATTCTTATCAATTTTTAAAAAATTTATTTTATTTTAAGCAAACCAATATTGTGAAAAGCCCATATATTGATGCTATTACACCTGGGGTTAATTTTCCATTAAAAGACTACTTCTGTAATGTTGTTTGTGGGGCAAACTTGCAATGTTTTAAGTCTCATTTGAGAGGAGAACTGCTATGTAAGTATCTTTACTTGCACATCTAGTTGTGTATGTCTTTGGGCAAAGCATTTTCTTCCTTCAAACTTTGTTTCTAAATGGAAGAAAAATAATACTTTCATCCTCCAAGAAGGTGCTGTGAGGATGGTATAATTATTTAAGGTGTTCTCATTCTAATGTGATGAGAGAAATAGAAAAAGGACTACAAATGTAAGCAAATAAGCTATGTTGATGTGGGGTAGATGAACACAGCGTGCAGTTATACACAGGCTCAAGCAAACAAATTGCAAACTGCACATATAGTCTCAAAAATCATCTGTAATTGAACAAAAAATGTTTGAACAGTGCTGTAAGCAATCAGCCCTGCATAAACACTGAGCAGCTCTCTATTTCAAAGGAATGTAGATGCTTAACAGACAATTATAACCCAAACTAAGCCATCAGGCACAAAATCAGAGCAGGAAGGGCTGCAACACCCAAGGCCCAGTCTATATACATTGATGTGAGCAGGAATCATTCCCATTGCCTACGTGGAAGAGAGTTTACAACAGCTCAAAGCAAATCCAGTACTGGAATGCACAAAAACCATCAAAGCTGTCAGGGAGAGGTGGAATTACCTCGATTTTGGCTTAGATGTGTAGACAGTACTCACTTCAGCTATAACTTTTGTACTCATCTATAAATAAAAGGATCTTTTTTGGCCTTTTTTTTTCTGTGCCAATTCAGTTTGTTATTATTACTTTCACTGCTGCTATTTCACACCATTCAGCAAAACCTACCAGTCAGATATTCCAGTACAGCAGCCATGTAGACTGGAGCACCAACACCAATTCTGTACTTCGGGTGGCCTTTCTTAATGTAACGTAGCATCCTTCCAACAGGGAATATGACCCCAGCCTTTGCGGAGCGGGAAGTCTTGGTTGACTTCTTCTTTCCACCCCTGCTGGACATTTTGTCTGTATTGGGTCTGGAACAGCACTCTGCATATTAGGAAGAAAAAAAAAAAAAGAAAAGATAAAAGGTTATCAAGAAGGACTGATGCTATAATATCATATACTGAATTTCAAGACAAATCAGTATTTTGGGGTAGGTAATGCATTAGGGTGCTGAAAATATATAGACAAGTTGCCTTTTTAGTGTGTATACAAGAACCTAAAATAATTTTCCACAGAATGTTTACTTGCCACTGTAATCTTGGCTTAATTTTATACAGTGAATATATAAACCAGAGAAATTATTTCATATAAGTCTGCTTTGGAATTACTTTTCTGAAATTCCTAGTAGATTAAAGCGTGTACCTTTAATGGAGCAAAGTATGATAACTACCTAATGTAAAACAGAGCTTCTGCATTAAAGCAGAAGATGCTTTCTGCAAGGAGACAGATATAACCCTCTGGTCTTGAGAAAAAAATATGGATTTGGCATTTGAACAACTGTGGCAGGACTAGATGATCTCCAGAGGTCCCTTCTGACCTCTATTATTCTGTGATTCTGTGACTGTTATGCTCATGAATAACCATGTTCCTGATGAGGAAAAACTGCATCCACTAAAGGTTTCATAAAGTACATTCACCTTCCTTAAAGAACTCGGTTTTCAAGCATGTGTGAATTTACAGAACAAAGACCTACTTTGTCCTGTAAATGAACCCCTTGAGATTTGAACCTACAGCAAACCAGCTATCTCCACATCGAAGAGTGTAAGCACTTCAACATGCCCCTCTAGGAATCTGATGAGCTTCCATCTGCCAGCTTTCCTCAACACAACAGTGGTCTGAACACCCAGCAGATATCTGACAACTGTATCTCAGTTTATGTCAGGGAAGAAAACTACTGCTGATACAGCTGTCAAACAGATTTTTTTCTCCCTTTGATTTCTGCTCTCAAGAGAAGCTGGCAAATCCAAAGAGGTGGAGGGTTTGCAGGTTCTCAAGGTATCTTTCAAGGTTTAGGACGTGCTCTGGGTTTTGAAATGAACTCGGAGGAAAGGAGACAGTCCTCATCTTCCCCTCCTT